TAATGTATAAAATAATATGCAAATATACAAAAAATACCAACAATTATTCTAAAAAATACCAGAGATTCTGAATGGAGATCTGGTAAATGCTGAACGGAAGGGTGGGGTGGTTACGCGTATTCCCCACAGATTTCTTTTAGGGAAGACGGTTGCGATTCGATAAATTTTGACTATAGATTTCCCGTTGTGAATAACTTTATTTTTCATAATAATTGAAAGAATTTTTTTTTGTAACATACCGAAAAAAGTGATCATCATGTACGACAGGTTAGGTCCTCAGCCCTGGCTCTTCCCCTGGACCTTCCGTTGGTCTGCCACTGACTTACCCTTTTCTGTGCAGGCTGATGATGAGCAGGCGGCAAATGGCTCGTTAGCGGTGAAGATGTGCACATCTGATAGCACTTCACTTTCGTCATCGAAGTTGCTGGCTTCATCACAAGACATCCTCACACATGGGCCCCAATGTGGCTTCACTCGTCGCACTTGCCAAATGTCTATTTTGTCATTAATCTATCACGTGTAATCGGTGGTATTTTCGGGCCACTGGCATCTTCCAATTTTCAATTAAACCGCATTACCAAACCTGGAACAACAGACTGTATTTTATCACATTAGTCCTTTGACTATTTGATGAATGATATTTCAAATTTTATCTTCCTTTGGGCTTGGTGCAAGCATATAATGTCTTGAATATAGATCTTGACAAGACACAGTGAGGAGACCTGAAAACAGGTTAACTGTCAGATATAGAAGTGTCGGTAATTTCTCCTTACTAGTACAACTACGTGTCCGAATTATGTATAAGATTTTAATGCAAATTGCTGTTACCGAAAATGGTAAATGCCTGTATTTTAATCCTTTTTTAAAACATTGCTTTGATTATGTTTATAGATGTTTAATTATGGGATGTGTTATCATAGTCTTTCTGCGTAAGTATACTGAAAATCTGCAATAAAAGGGTTCAGGAGAAACAAAGATCCTTGAAATTGATTTTTTATTTAATGCCAAATGTTTATTTTGTCAGAAGATGTCAAAGTATCATACGTAAATACTTTTAATAGAATGGAAAACTCTTTCTTAACCAGCAATAACAATTCCACATGAAATTGACTTCATGAAATTACTGTTACATTGTACATCCATCGTGTTTTGCCAGAAATCAAAAGAGGCGACTCATAGGAATGTTGTAACACAAGCACATCCACTATTACTTGTAAACTAACAGTAAAATTACACACATTTCACTCACTATCGGTCACTGACAACGTATGTACATCCATCTGGATTTTTTTGCACATCAAGTAAACGATCATCAATCGGTTGACGCCGACTACCAACTCTTGCGCTAACGTAGTTACTCCGGCAGCATAGCTAGTCTTCCGTGCCTTCCTCGTCCTTAGTCTCGCGCTTCGACTTCTTGCGCTTGTGATGCTTTGTCCGATGCTCGTCCTCCTCCTCATGCCCCCGCTTCTTCTTCTTGTGCCGCTCCTCGCGCTCCCTCTCGCGTTCCCGATCGCGCTCCTTGTCGCGCTCCTTCTCCCGCTCCCGCTCGCGATCCCGGTGTCGCCGATCCCGGTCGCGATCCCGGTCCCGGTCAGCCGACTTGCTCCCGCTCTCTCGCTCCTCTCCGCCGCCGCCGCCGCCGCCGCCGCCGCCGCCGCGTCCGTAGTGGTCGTACGACGGTGAGCGGCGGCTTGCCTCGCTGTACGACGACACGCCGTCGTCCCAGTCGCGGCCCGTCTCACCCCACATCGGTGGCGGCACCGACGTCGGTGGAGCGTTTGCGTACGGCTGGTATCCGCCGCCGCCTCCGCCTCCGCCTCCGCCGCCGCCGCCGCCGCCGCCTCCACCGTAATAGCCCGCGTCGTACGATGCCATGTCCGGCGGCGGCCCCGCGTTCGGCGGCGGGTAGCTGACGTAGCCCGGTGGCAGCGATGGATTCTGAGAGACAGGCGGCGGCGGCCCGTACCCGTGCTGCGGCAGCATCATCGAGCCGGCCATGCCCGGCGGCGGCGTCATCATGTCCGGTGGTGGAGCCATCGGGTAGCCCGGCGGCGGCTGCCCCATCGGCACCGAGTGCATGCCGGGCGCGCCGGGTGGCGGCACCGGGGGCGGCGGCCCTGCGCGCGGCCGCGCCACTCCGATCACGCTAATCACGCCGCCGCCGGGGCCTCCACCGCCGGGGCCTCCACCGCCCGCACCGTCGCTGCTCTCGCTGACGCGCCGCGACGCACTCAGCACCTGGATCTGTCCAGACGTCGGCTTGCGGAACGGCGAGAAGTCGGGCTTCTTGCCCATCGTCACGACGGCCTTGTTGTTCGCCGCCGCCGAGTACTTGCTGTTCTGGTTGACGGCGGTCGTCGCCACGCCGGCGCCGCCGACGCCGCCGGCCGCCACCGCCGGGTCCTTGCCGTTGACGACCTGGATGTTCTTCGTCATGAGGTTCTCGTGCCGCAGCGACTTCTGCTTGCTGCAGTAGCGCACCCACGTGTCCTCGCTAAAGCCGTAGTTGAAGTAGTCGGTGACGTCGGCGCCCGGCTTGTTCCACGGCTTCTCGTCGGCAAGCGTGTCGAGGTCAAGGTCGAAGATGGACGTGCCGTTCACCGTGCCAACTGCGTCCAGGTCGATGCCGGCCTTCTGCGGCTGCTGGATAACGAGCGTCGGCTTGCCCGGCGCCTGCATCGTCGCGTCGCCGGCCGCCTGCTTCTGGTGCGCAGCTGCTGCTGCCGCCAACGCGGGTCCGCCGGCTGCGCCGCGCTTCCCCTGCGCAGCGCCGAACGCGTACTGCGTCGCCGGCGCCGCCTTGATGTCGCCGATCGTCACCTGCACGTCGTCGTCGCTGTCATCGTCGTCGTCCGACGCGATGCCCGCGGCGGCCGCCGCCGCCTCATCCCCGCTCAGCTCCCCAGCCTCAAGCTTCGGCAGTGTTCCCGGCGGCCCCGGCTCGGCGGTCGCGCTGCTCTCGAACGGCAACGCGTCGGCCGACAGAAGGATCTTCGCAGTGTCGTCGGTGCCGCCGCCGTCGCCTCCCGCGGGCGCATCATTGCCGTCGGCCTTGTCACCATACAGCCACGCGTCGTCGTCCTCGGTCTGCTCCGTCATCGTCGCTAGTAGCGCCTCCTAGTGTCGCCTCGCTCTCGTTGCACGCAAGTTGGTGAAGAACGCGACACGCTTCGACGTGATTCAGCCTCGGCAAGACGCTGGTGATTGGTGGATGATTCAGTGGCACACCTTCACTGTGCCGTTTACTTGCATATGTTCAGTTCGCGCCACTCAGATGCGTTCGCTATTCAGAACCATAAGTTCAATTTACCGGTCAGTAGCGTACGCTGTCTCGTTCGCTGTTCAGTTGAGTACGTTCTGTTCGCTGTTCACTTACGTGCATTCCATTTACTGTTTAGTCGCGTACGTTAAGGTTAACTTCGACCTGGATGCGTAGGTCGAGCAGCATGCAGGTGATCGTGAAGAAGACGGGAAAGAGGACGCGTGTCTGCCAGGCGAGGCGGAAGAGAAACGTTAGCGTTGAGCCAAAGGGCTTCTGGCCGACTGACGACGTAACAGAACTCACGCTCGGCGTCACAAGTTGTCTCGAATCGAAGCCCAGCATCCGTCCTGCAAATCAAATCTAGCTGTTAATCGTTAGTCGTTGTCCTCGTTGTTTTGCCTTTGTTTTATTATTTTGCTTTTTACCATAAAGATCGTGTTACATTTTATTCATTTAAAAGTTTTGTACGTAGCCTGCTCTTTCTGACCAGCATTGATAATCATAAAGCGAATATAAATTGTTGTTGTTTGCTGTTTTTTTAAGTGGATATATAGACGGGTGCTTTATGTCAGCAGAAGCATTAATTGCAGGAAATACATACTAAATTTTAGAAGAGATATCATCAAGAGTTCATTCGCTATAGAGTGAACCACAATAACAAGTGAGAACAATGCCTGAAGTTTCCGACGAATTAAATAACGTTACGCAAGCATTGCGCAAATTTGGTGCTCTTTCCCACCTGCTCTATATTTCGTTTATTTATACACTGCAGCGTGCGTGCGCATGGTTCGTACAGGACTGAAATTTTTTCCAAGGACTTTTCAAGGACTTTTCAAGGACATTTTATCGGAAATTCAAGGACAAGGATTCGTGCTCTTGCATTTCAAGCGTATACCCAGTACTAACTTGTGGAAAAAAATTTATATTCCTTGCCTACCCAGTTTTTGGCAGGAAAAAAATAAAAAAAAAAAAAAAATGTACTACCTACCTTACCGACCTAATTTCACAAATCCAGGTGACGCCGAACCAAAGGTATTTTTTCTGTTTGGGTCTAGTAAGAAAATAGAGGGAGGGGGGGGGGGGGAGGGGGGGGGGGGGGCGAAGAACATTTTTCAGTTAAACATTAATGCATGTCTGCATCGTCATGATCGTGTTGAAGAAATTAAGGCTCAATTAATTTTCGCAATGTGCAACATGTGGCAAAATGTAGAGCATATGGCAGCTGCTTATCATCCTAGGCTTGGGCGCTGAAATTAATGCATGTAATATATTGCTAAATTGCCAACAAATTCAATATATTATTGACATGTATCATTGCATGTCATATATATGTTGACACATATATCAAGGGTTCAGACACTAACGCTAAGTCCCGTTAGTCCCCTGAGACTAGTAAAAAAATCAGAAAGGACTCACTAGTAGACTAAAGCAGTTAGTCCAGGCGGGACTAGTTATATTTTCACAGCCGTCCCTACCGCCAATTTCCCATCGATTGTTACCCGGCGCAGCGTCTCTCAATCCCAGATCCAATAAGAGGCTGATATATAACTCGTCACCATTAACAAGTTTTCCCTGTTAACGCGCTAGCTGCCCAAGTAGAGAGACGCTAGCACACCTGCTAAGCATGCTGCTGAGAACCCCTAACGAGCCAGTACAGAACATTGTGGTAAACCAAACCATCTACCAAGTTGACAGTAAGTCTGTTGACATAGAACAAACGTCTTGATTGTAGAATTGACCACTAATCAGTTATATAGTGCTCTCATCAGGGAAGGTATACATCGCAAACCCACAACATGCGGCATGCAATGTTACGTTGAAGCAGTCGGCATACAATAGTAGTGAAAGCTAATAGTAGGTATATCCTTATCGCAATAGTAATAATAGCTAACATCAATGTTGTTTATGTGGAGTAGTTGGACGGCGCTCGCCCTCACCTCGCCAAAACGTAGAATCGCAAGAGGAGAAAATTAGATAGGCCAGCGTGTCTATGATAGACGAAAAGGATGCGTCGCGTTTGCACACGCACGCACCCACGTGACGTGCACACGCAACAGCGCGCACGTGATAACGTGCCACACGGCACGCCAACGCAACACACGTGTACGTGCGCTTCCGGTAACGCCTGCACGTGTAACATGCACACGCACGCAGGCCACTGTTAGCGTGGCACGACACGGGACACGCACGCACATGTAACGTGCATACGCAGCGCACGTGTACGTGCACACGCACGCACACACACACACAGGCCCCCACACATCACACACACACACACCACACACACAACACACGGCCACACGGTCACACCCACACACACACACACGTGTCGTGTCTATGCAACGCACGCGCGTGTACGTGCACACCGCAACGCACGCACTACACGTGTAGCGTGCACACCACACCACGTGTACGTGCCGCACACCAACGTTACGTGTATGCTGCACGGACGGCACACAACGCTGTACGTGCCCAACGCAACGCACGTGTACCGTGCCTACAAGCACCGGCACGTAGTACGTGCCCGACGCACGGAGCAACAGTGTACGTGCACAAACGGCCGCACGTGTACGTGCACACGCACGGCTACGCGCCACACGTGTACGTGCCACACGGCACAGCACGGCCCGCACGTGTACGTGCAGCCCACATGAACGTGCACACTCACGCAAACGTACTGTACGTGTACGTGCAGGATCCAGCTTTGCCTCCAGAATTTTTTTCACCTCTACTTTGCGACTCTGGATTTAACGGTCTTTCTGCCGATTTTACGGGTTTTCCCGCTTCGTAACCATAGACGCCAATTGTTTTAGCAGTGATACCGACAAGTGCACGCGCAGGCCATCTATGCCAGCGATTCGTAAATGGCGAACGAGGCCCATTAGAAAATGCAACATGCTATTTCGGAAAAACGGCAGCCCTAACACCGATGACGTCAAGCGTGTTGCATAGCTTGACAAGGCAAGGGTTTAGAGTCCGGCAGCACTAACCTTTACACGACAAGGCTGCCAAGAGGTCATTTACGGGCGACTAGCGATACAAGCCCGGAACAGTTCTGAGCTATAAATGAGGCCAAAGCTCGCTTGCTGATGATAAGTGACGGATCCACAGGATTCCTCAATCAATAGAGAAATGTAACAAAAAATTTTATTTTCGAAATTACAAATTTTAATTTAAATTTAAGTTTGTAATTTTATGATCCATTATCAAAGTTACATGTATTTTATACAAATCAACCATGTTCTTTTAATACAAAACTTTCTGGGTAAGCAACACTTGTACCACCGCTGAGAAGACCCACTGTACCACTAGCAGAAAGGGGGCTCCACCCTCCTTACCGCCACCTACCTCCTGCAAATAAACAATGCTCGTCGCTCTGCGCCTAGTAAGATCCTCCGGCGAGGACTAGTAGAATCTCAGGAAGGAACTAGGACATTTTAGCTCATCTGACATAAGTCCAGATGCAGCTTGTAGAATCGCATGATCGTCCGTCGTCCGTCCGTCCGTCGTCAACAGTTGGGCACAAATCTTAACCGCTCGACGTAACGGTCAACGATATTTGGTCGTTACGGGGGGATCATCAAAATCGAGTTTGGGATGTCAAAGCTGTGGGGTCAAAGGTCAAAAGGTCAAGAGTAGTAAAAGAAGGGGGAACATCACATTCTTAACTTAAGGTAGTAAGGGAGGAATGCAGGAATTGCGGCACAATCTAAACGGCTGCTCGAACCTAGGCGCTGATCGTCGTGTATCAGCATCATGTAGGAAAAGCCCAATCACTGTGCCGAAATTGAGTTCACAGGTCAAAGGTCAATGGCACAGGGCCGAATTTAGACATATTTCTGAGGACAATGGTCCTTGACGGACAGCGATTGAAAACCTTTTTTGTTTCAGCGGTGACCTAGCATTTTTATGGCTTTATCGAAAGGACCATGAAAATGTCCGCTTCTTGCTGACCACTGCGAGAGTAAGTTCGGATAACCTTTTGACCCTCAAGAGAGGGTTAACGATGGATTTGTTGACATGCTAAACACAAAGGAGTGAACCTGCTTTTGCTATTAGAGCTGCCCTCCCCCCACTCTCGCCCCTTCCCCCCCTCCCCCACCCCCTTCCCCACCCGTCCCCCACCCTCTCCCCTACCCTCCATCTGCGATTAGTGGGCGTGTCCTAACAATGATGTGTACCAAACTGAGTGTCTGCATATCTGCGGCCTAACCAAATGTGGTACTGACCGCACGGCTGAAAATTTACCCGGTTTATAAATCGTAAGCACAAGACCTCAAGATGAGGCCAGAGCGCTCTGCGGGCTCTTGTTTTCGATTTACATAGTCCATGTCGGACTAATCGAACTAAAATGGTTTAGTGTCCTAAACCCTGCATATATCAAAGAATCTGCGCATCCATGGACCAATATTGGCAATAATGCAATATGACCACAATCATCAAGTTACAAGCCGCGGGCCGCTGTGCTTGTGCGTAGTGGGTGCAGGCACTTGGAACGTTTCCATAATAAAATGATGGTGAATAAACACGAAATGTATTTGTAGCAAAGTTCTGACTACTTAATGTTTCACTACTTCGTCCAACATAATTTAGTAATCAATTTCTGCTTAAATGTGCGTTGAAATAACTCCTCTGCGCAACACACAACCGACCAATGGTTCGGCACAGTCCTTTGAAATTCTTGATTTGGGTGAGTCCTTGAAAAGTACTTGAATTTAGTAAATGTGATTTAGACACGTTTGTGCTTGAAAAGTGCCTTGAATTTTATGAAAATGCTCCTGTAATTTCATGAAAATAGTCTTTGAATTTTTAGAAAAGAATCCTTGCCTGTAATAAAAAGAAAATTTGGTACCTTCAATAATGTGGCAAACCTCAATAAAATTGCAGTTAAATTGAGCTTAAAAAAGCTATAAGACAGCGATAGACAAGTGTAAATGATGATCAATAAATTACACGTAAGTTCAGTAAAATCAGTCATGAAATCAAGGTTATGGTGTAGAACGTGACAGGTGTTTAAGAGGGTTTGTCTTAAATGTGATCCAGCTAAGTTTAGAGGTTGACATGCATGATTTAAGAATGGGGTTATTAAACTTAATACCAGGTATGTTTTGTTCTGTGTATAGAATTCGCAGATAAAGA